GCACCCAGTTTGGACTCCGGCGGAAACCCCTGATCCAACAAGGGCTACTAACCAACAAACCTCCGGTCTTACTGACTTTTGTCTTGGTGTCGGGTCCGGTGCGGGAGTAGGGTAGATCCGGCGAGTCTACTTTCACTGTAATCCCGCCACTGCTTTAGCCTGCTGAGGCTCGTGGTGGAAATCGTTGAAATCGACGGTCGAACTGTCGTAGGTAGCACAATGAGAGCAATGGATGCAGTCAATAGTTAGACAGTTAACCACAACTGTCAGTTTCTCTCGCAAAGGCAATCAATGAAGGCGCACAAGCGGACAGGGTGTCGTTAATTGGTATAAGTGTGCAGTGGCATAGCGACTGTATCCTATAAAAACTGCAAATTGCTGCGTATGAACTACTTATTTCTGTTTTGGTCTCCGATGAAGGATCCGCGACGGCGAATAAAATGCTTGTCATATCTAATTCTCCTCAATTACTTCCTCGGACTCGCATGTTCCCCTGTATCGGGAATAGGAACGTCGTTCACCTTACGGATGGTGCACTCGACATGTGATCTTTGCAAGGAATACGCAAAAAGTAAGCTCTGCAAATGCTGGAACCCTTAAACCAGACACAACAACATCAACTACAGACGAGCATGGCCTGTACGCATTAAAGTATTCTGAAAAGACGAAAATATGCGAGGCCTAGGTAAATCAATAGAAGGCGGAAAGACGTTCTCTGGGACCAGTATTTTATTTGTCCGACGTTTCGGACTCTCACTCGAGGCCATTGTCAAGGAAAAACAAAATGCACAGCTCATCGTGTATTTAGCTCAAATCTACTGGGAATGACCTTCAGCTCTGCTATCGATTTTTTACGCAACGCGAGATAGGCTTCAGGAAGATCGATATGCCTGTTAACTGAATACGCGTGCGAGTGCCATGCCTCCTGCAAGAGGCGTGAGATTCGGTCCTCCGACAACTTATGCGGCCTAAAGACCCAGTACCCGTTAACCAAAAGTCCGATGTCATTTACCGCATCGACTGCCTTTGTAGTCAAGCCAATTATGTTGGTGAAACCGGGAAACAAATTCTCACGAGAATGCACCAGCATGAACTCGCCGTGGGACAGAATGACAAGGTTTCTTTGATAACCGCTTACGCAAAGCTCTGAAACGTTGGACAAATAAAATACTGGTCCCAGAGAACGTCTTTCCGCCTTTTATTACATTTAAATATCTTTGCTGGGACGAATGTAAAAAGGCAAACAAGACAGGCTATGTTATATCGCCTGATGATCGCAAAACCTAACAATGAGCTACTTACAGAGTCTCCTTTTGCTTCTCATAAGCCTTCATGTCGGGTTTCAGCTGCTTGGCCTGCTTCAGATACTTCCGATGAGAAGCGTCGGAGTAACTAGAAAATCCAACCGGCTCCTCGCCAAAGGGTTTTTTACGACGCTTACGTTGTTCAAGACGATCAACTAGCTCAGCACTTGTGGTCATCGCTTTTGCTCTCTCTGCGTCTAGACCCTCGGCCTGACATTTGGCTTTGAACTGTTCCTCTTCTTCTTCATATTTTAGCCTGGCTTGGCGAGCCTCCCAGTTGGCGGGCAACTTCTTGCGTCTATCCTCTTCCACAACTTGTACATGGTTGGCTTTTCGTGCTTCGTTCTGAAAGCCAATGAACATTTGTTTTAGAAGGAAAGCGGGTTTGGACTTTGGGACGAAAAAGTCAATAAAACGGGTTACTAGTAGCCTAAAATGTCCTGTTTGAGAAAAAGAGTAATTAGCTTTGGGGCAATATTATTATTATTATTATTGAAACGGCTAATACAAAATTTTATAAATTATGCAGGGAGGGAACTAACTGTGAAATATAAAGTAATTGAATAAACATCTTGTCAGAACGACTCCTGACAATCACATGAACAAAACTCCCACCAACGACGGGGCATAACAGTAACCACGGTCAATTTTACAGGTAGAATGGTCTTAAGGCTTGTATGATCGAAGTTACTGTGAGTTTTTGAACGGTTTTTCGATTGGCTAATCCGCAAAAACAAACAATCCACACAAGCGGCATTCAAAACCTTATGTAACTGCCCCTCCCCCAACAGGTGCACCCAATAGGCATCATCAGGTACACCGCAACCTACTCTACTCGGACGGCTGCACGGCCCACTAACGCATTTGGCATCACCATAACGCAAGATCAGTGCAGTGCGTAAGAGGTAATAACTAGAGTCAAGAAATCGCTTAATTATCCATACGAATTATGTTAGTTGGGGCCGGCAAGAGATGAGAGTAAGTTTAGGAAGAATTGAACTGGCATAACGTTCTCTTCTTTAATA